TTACTAGCTATTAGTCTATGAAAAACCAATGTTAACGTATAACTAGTTTTAATGAACAGTAATCTCTAAAAGCCATTCATTTGTATCATTCAATTGAGTGTTAATTATAATGGCATTCGAGTTCATAATGTATACATACTGTAGTATTACATACATATTTCTCATGGCATTCCCGAGCTACCGGTGCGATATATCACTGTCTATGTTCACCCCAATTAACACATTCCTAGATGAGTTCTCATATAATGAGTTAACTAATCGGATAATTGTTTGAAACATTTTCAAAGGCAAAATATTTGAGCCAAAGTCGCCGGAAATAAACAACTCGACCGACGAGAAGATAATCCTCGACTTGGATGACGGCACCGAAGAGGCGCTGGACGAGGCAGCGGAGGCCGATCTGGTGGACTTGGCCGGCATACTGGGCCTGCACTCGATGCTCAACCAGGACCAGTTCCACTCGTCCATAATCAATAAGGGTCAACGCATGGGAGGGGATAAGTTTGAGTCGATCGTGAAGGCGCCGGTACCAAAAAAGTTGCCGTTCGAGCCGGATAATATGACCGACCCCGAGCACACGGCCAGGCAAGTGATCGCCAACGATCCCAACCTAACGGAGCTGAACTGGAATAACATTAAGTTCATACCGCGCGAGACATTCAAGAAAATGTTTGAAGGCTTGAAAAGTAACACACATTTGCAGGCCATTCACTTGTCCAACACCGGGCTCACCGACGGACCCGCAGAGGTATGCCATTCCCCTCGTGTTTAATGTGTACAATAGATTAGGTTTATAAGTACTGCCAGTTTTGTGTTGCCTTACATTTTCCTAAAGAATCGTATTTTAAATATCGAAATATGTCTAAAAAAGTTTATTTTTATGCGACAAAACCTATTAATATTAATTTTTATGTTTCAAGAGTTTAGACTAAATAACTAAACATTCAATCGATAGCTCGTATATAACTATTAGACAAATATGAAATATGTCTAAAAAAGTTTATTTTTATGCGACAAAACCTATTAATATTAATTTTTATGTTTCAAGAGTTTAGTGATTTATTGATTTGTAAGTTAGCTATCGAGCATATATTGATAATCTGTTTATACAAAATCCTTTTTAGAACGATTAAATAATCTCATTTAAGAATCACTCGGTTTTAGTGATAATACATGTATTATCTATATAAACTGAATGAACTGCCAATTATTTTTGCCAATTAATATCACCAAAAAACTAAGAGTCTATTCATTTAATATAAAAAATGTAGTAACTAAGTCTCTCTCTCTCTCTCTCTCTCTCTCGTATTGAATAAAATTTTGTCTGAATTGTCAAAACCAAAAGAAATACAAAGTTTTTAAAAACTAAGCCATTATTCTGGAAATTTTATTGTGTTCACAACAATCACATCGAGTTTTATGACTAGTACTCAATACAAGTGCCAATTTTGTGCTACTTTTGCACACCAGCACAACATATCTGGAATGGGCTGTTAAATAAAATATATTTATTAAATTATATTACTTATACTGTATTAAATTAAATTAAAATGAATACAAATATTAAACATTCAATTATTTATGACAGAAACTGGTGGAGGCGCTCAAAGAGAACACGACGTTGCGTACGATAAGCCTGGAGTCGAACTACCTGTCCGGCCCTATGCTGCGGACACTGATCCAGTCACTGCTGGTTAAGCAACGGGTGCTGGAGTTCCGGGCGTGTAATCAGAGGCCCATAATTATGGGCAACAGAATCGAGATGGAGATCGCGAAGGCTGTCGAGCAGAATAAGACGTTACTCCGTCTGGGCC